ACTGCATTTCAGAGATTTGATAGTATTGTGTCCCTCCTAGAGGGTGGTGCGCGTGAAGGAAGGAGTGCGCTTCAGCCTGACCAGTGTCTAAAGCGTATACTCAGTTGACTGGTGTTAGACCCCCCCCCGTTCAAAGGTCTCAAAGAATAAGTAACGGCTGTATATTTGTATATTTTACTCTGTATTTTGGCTATCCTACAAGGTAGTGTGTTCTGGGGATTTATTCCTAGTATAATAAGGGTGCGTTTCAGACAGTAGACGTCCAACCCGACTCGCTCAGTGCCTACATTAACCACCAACCCGGCAGGTTGTCAGACTGCCACCAAGATCGAACCCAAAGGGATTCACAAGGGCCACACGCCGACCCTGGAGCGTTCGCGTTCTAGCGTTTCTGACCCCAGTACCAGAGAGTTCATCAATTCTCTGGACCCCCTGGGCTACCGCACTATACACTTGCGGCGAACAAGGTTCACCGACCTCGCCACAACTTCCTGCTGGCATGCTTTGGACTGACGTTCGCGAGGACGTTCAGAGCCTCTTGTTGTCCGGCATGAATTTCAAGTTGGCCATGAAGTGGGTCTCGGACAGCCAAGGTGGCCAACCCCTCGCCCCTCGGGAGACTATCTGTCGCATGTTGGCCCAGATAGTCCGTGCAGGTCAACTTGATGAGACTCCCTGGTGTCGCTTTGTGTCTGATGCATTCTTCATCAACGCAGAGGCGATCTTGGAGAGGCGCCATGTCAACCGAGAACCGACAGACCCTTGGCATCCTCTGGGTCGCTGCTTCATCAAGTTCCAGAAGCGTAAACAGTATATGCGCGACACTGAGGCTCTCCAGACCGATCTCCCTGGCGCTTCTGATGACGAAACCAAGGATCCGCCCTACGAGCTCTCGCAGGCTGAATTTGACAAGGCTGTACGGGCTGAGGCCGCAGCTGAAAACGATGAATCAAGCGAAGATTCGAGCGCCAGTTAAGGGGACTCGTAGCCCGAGACCGCGGGTACAAATCCCATTCGTCCCCGTAATTCCAAGGCTGGAGAAAACCCTCTCTGCGCTGTTGAGTCAGTTCCCGTTGGATCGCCTAGTGGAGAGGATGATAAATTGAATGTCCTTCATCCGCCGGCTCCTGGCCAAGGTCCGTCATCTCCGCGCGGCTTCGGAAGCAGGGGGTTGCGGCACGTTATCGTCCCAGACCCTGGTGGCCTGTGACTATTTCGACACTATGCGTCTCGAGTGGACCGCCATGTGTCGACACTGGAGTCAACGTGTGCGGACGCTCAAGCAGGACCAGGAGTGAAACTTTCCTGCGGCAAGGTCTCCGTGATGCAGAGTTCAACGTGATGTTCAACTGGATGCGCCTCGCGGTGCTCCTTCTTCACTTCGCTGAGCGTACGCCATTCCCGAGGGTTGGCTCACCAGCATAAATGTGGTTGCCCTGGACGACCCACGTTGCGAGTGTCCGGGTACACACGACCCCCTCCCAGGACCAATAATGGCAACTCACGTTCGGGTTCTCAAGGACCAAGACGACCTGCCGTCCTCGATTTGTCGCCTCCTGCACGAAACAAGGGGCTTCGATGTCTGGATCGCGGACCGGTATCCAGAAACGGAAGGCATCAGCGGCTCGAAATGCGCCCCTTCTCAAGCGTCAAACGCTGAGTCCGACTCAGAATTCGGACTGTGGTGCCAGTCGTCAGCTCCGTCCTCTGGGCTATTCTCCGAGGAATTTATTGGTGTATTCTCCAAGGAATGTCCCTGACGCCCGGGACCTGGCAGAGGCCGGCCGTTAGCTTCCGGCTGGCTTGCTCTGGACTGAAGTCCGCGAGGACGTTCAGCATCTTCTGTTGTCTGGCATGGATTTCAATTTGGCCATGAAATGGATTTGCGACAATCAAGGTATCCATCACCTCGCGCCTCGGGAAACTATCTGTCGCATGTTGGCCTACGTAATTCACGCGGGTCAAGTGGATGAGACTCCCTGTTGTCGTTTCGTGCCGGGGTCATTTTACATCAACGCAAAGACGATCCGGCAAAGACGCCAAGTCAACCGAGAGCCGACTCCCATTTGGTACCCTCGGAGTCGCTCAGAAGCGGAAACAGTCAACTCGCGACACCGAGGCTCTCCAAGGTACGCTCTCTGGGTCTTCTGGCGATAAAACCCAGGATTCATCCTACGAGTTCTCGCAGACTGAGCTAGACAAGGCCACACGGGCCGAGACTGCCGATGAGAACGACGAATCGAACGAAGAGTCGGACGACAGCGGAGAGGAATCTGAATCCGAAGTTGCGGGTCTGAAAGCCCTCGTGATTCCGAGACCGGAAGTAAGGACAGCGGATCCAAGAACTACATTCAGCCCTTGAATCCCAAGTCCCGAGTCATTGCTGGCTCCAAGGCCCATATCATTCTGTTTCACGACCCATCAACACTACACGCATACGTAAAATGCCCGCTCTCTCCGTTGCTACATTCATTCGTCGGTCAAGGTAGAAGTCTCATCCGCGGGCCCGAGACGTATTCGCTCCAATTTGGCATATGATGATTTCCAGGGCAAACACCTGGACATCGTGGAGACTGCATGTCGAGAGACTCATGTTTCGTATCGCATCTTTGGGATTTTGGTAAAATTTGACCCGTATCGGCAGCCTCTTGGGCAGCCCGACTTCGAGCCACACAAGCTTGATATCCACATCTTGAAAGCACGCTGAAATCTAGAGGCTTATCAGGCTCTGATTCACGTCCTGGAACCTGTCAATGGTCGTGCCGCTCGTGATGAAGATGGTGAGCTCGTCAAAGCACTATAGACTGTGATGTTCGAGGAGCGCATCATCGTATTTTCCTTTCATGAAGTGTGCGACTTGAAATCAGAAACGCTTGACGGAATAAAGGAGTACGTGGACTTCATCCACGTAAATGCCAAGACTTGGTGGTTGATATTGCACTGGATAACTATTTCATTCTTCTCGAGGGATGACGTTGAAGCTTATGCTTCTCGTGATTTATATGGCGAACGTCGTAGAGACGTCAAGCGGCTTCGTGCATGACACGAGGCTTTACTTAAGCGACTGTTCGCAATTGCCTGTTTTCCAAGAACGTTGCTTTACGAGCCGGGTTTATGGACTCTGCCTGTATGTGCGTGTCACTGGATTCTTAAGGAACCTGAGCGTTCACCCCTTATACGTCGTGGAGTCCCTGATTACGCTGCTCAGCTCGACGATTCGGACGCGGAAGGACCTGTCCGCCCTCAATGGGCTGCTGCACATTTCGAAGAAGACATTCTAGTCACGGTCCCTGCGTTTATGCACTCGAAGCTCATGAAATCTGAACGCCGAGTCTGCAATGTGATTCCTTTGGCTGCGGAGTCTCAGGTGTGAACTTCTTTCGTCAATTGTTGTTCCCCACGTACTTTGGATGTAGGCACTATTCTCCTCGCTTTAGGTCTCCTGGCATAAGTTCGTTAATACCCATAATTCTGCACTTCTCACTCCGATGTCTCGACTTCTTTGGTACATATGTGTAACCAATGCTGTGCCAATCTTCTTCTTCACACGTGATTTCATTGGTTGTTTTCTAGGATCACCGGATTCAGAGATTGTTTCAGTGGACTCAGCAGACTCAGAGGGATCTTCTCGAGTTTGCTCTCCTAGCTTCATCACCAGGTACTACACATCGGTTTCCAAAAACAATATCATCCTGTTCGCTCATACAAGTTCTTTGGGCCGGGCCAGTTCCCAGGGTGATCGTCTCAGCTTGCATAGCCTGGAAATGTGCTCTTGCCTTAGCGCCTAGATCGAATTCGTATAACAATGCCCCACAATTAAGTTGGGCTAGAGGTATCCATTCTGGATCCGTATATCCCTTCCACTTAATGAGATACTCCCGAGAACGCTTGGAGGCCTTTGTACGTTTAATCTACCTGAGGTCCGAGTTCCCTTCGACTTCATATTCATCCTGTTCAGAGTCCGGTTCCCAAATATCCTGGTGTAGCAGCGCGGCATCAATATCGTCTTCTTCTGAGACCTGTATCTCTGATATCGGCCGCTTAGGGAACAAGGCTCTAGGCTTGAGGCGGCTAATGTGGACCCACGGGGTTACGCGGTAGCCCGCACCCGGGATCTTGAGTTTGACTCTGAAGTCATCGTGTATTTCATCGAGTCGGAAAGGTCCGTGCCATAGGTGAGCTAGTTTGCGGCTCAATCCTGTACGTACTTTGGGAGTATACAACGAGACAGAGTCACCCGCTTCAAAACCTGCATTTACACGGTCCGAGAGTTACTTCCACTTACGCGCCTGGGCTGCAGATCTCACGCGTTTCGCTTTCTTTTGCAGGTCTTCAGCGCATGCCAGTGCATAGCTATAATCCCGTATCGTTTTACGACGCCATTCCAAGGCTGTTCGTTCCTGGCTGTGGATGGTTTCGGACCCAGCATTGCGGATATGGTCCCTTGGTCATTCCTGCCGTGGCCCAGGTAAAACGGGGTGTCTAAGCTTGCAGTGTCGAACAAGGTATTCAAGGCAAACATGAGACGTTGTGCATGTTCGTCCCAGTCGCTCTGGTCAACTTCAGCGACATACGCTCTGACACTTCGCATCACGGTTTGGACAGAGCGTTCTTGTTGTCCATTGGCCTGAGGCCGGTATCCTAACGTCGCACGTTGCTTGCTTTTCAGAAGGTCTCTGAATCTTGCGAATACTTTGCTCATAAAACGGGGATCCTGGTCATGTCGGATCATGGAACTTGCCCCAAATCTTCGTAATACGCATTCCTCGTATGCCTCAGCGACATCTTGGACTTCGGCATTCCGTACGGGTTTACACATGACGTATCCTGGGAATTGATCCTGGAACAGCAACAAGTATGTATTTCCACGATCGGACTTAGATAGCTAAGTGACAAAATCAATAGAGACCACCTCAAACGGATACTTTGGTTGCCAGGAGACGGGCCGGCAACAGGTGGTCGCCCCTTGGCTGACGCACAGTCTACGCACTCCCTCGCAAACTTCTGAACGTCGGCATACACCCCGACCCAGTAGAACTCTGAGCGTAAGCGCTCAAATGTCGGGTTGATTCCTTGGTGGCCACCCCGAAAATCTTCATGTGAGTAATGTAACATATCGGCACGTAAGGACTCTGGGACCACTAGTCTGAGCTCTGACTGTTTATTGCGTGGTCTATCTGGAGTGGGTGCACTCAGTCTGTAAAGGATTTCTCGCGAATCCAGCACAAACGGATCGGAAACCTTAGCAATCTTCTTCACTTGTTTCCTAGAAAGATCTGACACATCTCCTTTTAGAACCTTTTTCATTTGCTGAATCCACGGATCCTCGTCGTGGTGAACCTTTATTTTTCTCCAACGTTCATCCTGGTATCCAGACCGGTCTACGGAACTCCGGGATTCCTTGTCTACTCCTGCACGGGTTCTCGTCATCACCATCAATGCCTCAGCAGCGGCAGCTAAAGTTTCAGGTATTCCGAGGTCGGGATTTCTCCTTCCAAGTTCGACTTGGTCCGTACGAACTGCATCGGTCGCAGAAGTATCTGGGATTTCCGAAGGTTTCATGATCTTTTCAGGGATTCTAGATACGAGACGTAGGTAAACTATCTCGTCTGGGTAATTGAGCTCCCACGATTCTCCAAGCACGAGAGTCTTAGAGGTCAAGTAGTTGGCCGCTTGGTTGAATTCACGTTTGACACGAATCAACTTCACAGACGCAAAATCCTTCCTGAGATCCTCATATTCAGCTAATCGTCGTTGCATAGTAGGCTGATTGCAATTAATCAGTCTCTGAGCTTGTTGGACGACGATCCTGGAATCCCCGACGGCCACGAGTTCCTTGACATCGAACTGCAAAGCGAGCTTTAAACCTAGAATTAAACCATGGTATTCAGCATCGTTGGCTGTTACGCCTTCTAAGATGTGCCCTTAAGCCTTCACGACCTGCCATCCTGGCAGCTCCCACAATATCACCCACACGGGTGGTAACCTTTGCAGCACCATTGAAACTCAGAACGTAGCCTTCATAGTTCGCGTCTAACATTTCCAGACTCACAGGTGGCATCACGTTCAGACGGCCCTTGGCGGGAGTCAGAGTTTCTGCAGCTTTGTCCAAATGTTTCCTTGAGGTGATACCGGATCGTTCAAGGATGGCCACAAGACCGTCCTCATCTTTCTGAGTTCAATGTATTTTCAGTGTCCACCTTGATCATTCCAGCCCCCACTTCAGATGCCGTCCATCTGCAGTAGTAACCACTTCAACACGGAGTTGCGCGTATATACTACAACAGGGATCTGAGCCATAGATCAGAGGCCTGAAAACTTCTGGAGTCCGCAAGATTGCGAGTACCTCCTTCTCGGCTATATGGTAGCGTAACTCCGATTCCTTCAACACTCTACCAGTAAATCCTACTGGGTGTATGAGTCCTTCATGTTCCTGACTCAAAACTGCACACGCCGCCCACGGGTTAGCGTGCGGAATAGTCACGAAAGGCTTGGCTTTGTCTGAGTGCCGCAACAACGGGGTCGACACGATAGTACGTTTTAGTATCTCGAAGGACTTCTTCGCGGCTTCCAGGTTCCGTACACGTTCTTCATCCAGTTCGTCGAGCACAGCGGCAACTACTGGTAAGTCTTCAATGAACTTGTTGTAATAATTCACACTTCCTAAGAAGGACTGTACTCTCTTGTACGTTGACGGGAAAGGTAAATCTTCTATACCCTTGACGATCTTCAGCAATGCTCTGATTCCGCCCGCACTCACTTCATGAGAAAGGAATGGGATAGTCAACTTTTCAAATTCACTTTTGGTAGACTTACACAGATATTCCACATATTGCAGTATGTATAACAACGCATCCAGGTCTTCACAGAGTTGGTCCCAGGTCGACGCCGCATGAGCGATATCGCCAATATATGAGCTTGTCCCCCATTTGTGACGGAGCCGGAATATTGCGTCGGAATGCCGTCATTTCCAATGATGGAATCTCTGAGTCTTCTATATTTACTTCGGATTTCAGGGCTTCTTGAGGCTTAAGATTCAGAAACTCTAGAACTTCTGGGTCAACCATCGCTTCTTCTTCAGGGGTAGACGACCGAATCCCCACAGACACTTGTTGATGACACTGATAAATTAAAGGCGCATTCTTCAATCCAAAAGGCATTCTGAATCATTGAAAGTGGTTGAACGGGCAAACGAACGCAGAGATCAACTTCGCACGTTCAGGCATACGTACTGCTCAGAACCCGCTCTCCATGTCGAGACTCATAAACCAGATCGCGGATTCAAAGTCTACCAGCAGATCATCAATCAGAGGTACAGGATAGCGGGATAGCTTGATGAGCAAATTCAAAAGTCGGTAGGCGATGCACATCCTGATGTCTACGCCATTCTTCGTCAGCACGATCACAATGACTCGGACTCTGAATGCTCAATGAGCTCCGTCTCTAACAACTTCTTCAGGAGTTCAAACACCTTCACCAAGAAAGGTGCAGCAATCTGTCTTGCACGCAAAGCTACTGGTTTTACTTCACCGACATCGATATCACACACTACGCCCCTAGCTGGAGCCGGAGCTGCGTTGCCATCCCCCAGAAAGATACTGCGATGGCGTTCCAGGATCCTTCTCATCTTGACCTCTATTTCTGGAGTTGTGACCCCGGGGACCTCAACATTTGTTTCTTCGATGTTACATTCTGGGGTCAGTTCCTCAATTTCAGGGTGCAGATAAGTTGGTCTCGTAGCTGCGTCATCAAATCACTTCTTTCTCTAAGATATACGGCAGGTTCCAGTTCCAGTTCTTCGGTCGAGACTTGCATCACCCGAGCATATTCTGCTTCAAGCCTTTGGACCGGCGTCGAACAACTCGTTTGTGACTGGGCATCCACTGACACTTCTTTAGCTGGAACACTATCCTCGGCGTCAGCAGCATTCTCCGGATCCGGGGCCTTAAATTCTGGACCCGGGTCTGAATGGGCTCCCTCTGTCTCTTCAGGACGGATCTCAAGTCCCTCGGAGTCTCTCACGACTATGTTCATAACAACCGCTGCATTTCTGGTGACCTTGAGTGTCATATCCAAAGTATCCGGCCTTTCCTGCAACTTCACCATCCGCACATCAGCAGCTTGGGGCTGTGGACGCATTAAGAGTTTGGTAGACCATTGATATTTCTGAGTCCGAGTGCACGGAGGGTCCCTTTCCCTGAGAATCTACTATAACTGTCCAGCAGGCATCCTCGCCTGACGTGAAAAGGTACACTCATGAATTAATTGTTGCCACTCTTCATACCGCGCCTTCTCAGGACGAACGAATCCAGGTTGCCCTGGGAACTACCCGTACTCCACGATACGGGCAACAGCAGTCCTAGTATTAATCCAAACATTTTGGTCTGAAATATTGACAACCTTGTCCAGGATCTAGCAGAATACAAGACTTTCGTCACCCAGCGTTTACTTCTCCCATCCCACACCAACTCGCGTTGAGGGTAGGACTGGCCATACCTGATTCGTACAATAGCATTCTGACCAGGGCATAGGTGTATACTTTCCTCTGGGCACACAGGGAGATCCACTTTGGATAATCATCATAATAACTACAGTCTCTTCGTCTGGCAGCTTGACTAAATCTTCTCGTATACAGAGTCTGGCACCCGCCGAATGTCTAAAGTTCATGCCTAGCAAGACGTCGACACCTTCTCCGATATTTCCGACCCAGATGTTCAGGACGTAAACCACACTCCACCCAAGCGTTATCTTTACTCGGGCATGAGTATTGATGTAAGTAGTCACTTCTCCTAAACCAGAAACTTTAATTTGGCGGTGTGTCCGGAGCTTGAGCTGGAGCCTACGCGCTAGATCAAGGCTTATAATACTCACAGACGCACCTGTGTCCAATAAAATTCTGGTTCTGAAGTCATCCACCGCTCCATGTATGGTCACCAATCCATGCATGTCTCCATTTTCGTGATCTTTCCACAACCCGTACCTCTGACCCGGTTTCAACAGCACTTCCAAGGGATCCTGAGACGCAGACTCAGAGATCTCTGGGATCGGGTCATCTGAACGCTGGTACTCTGAGTACAATTGTTCAAGGTAGATGATTTCATCTTGAACTAAATTCCTGCATTGTTGGTTATCATGCAGTTGTGTCCTTCGTTCTGGTCCTATACAGACTAACACACACATTTCGGAGGGGGTCTTAGGCCCGTCGCGTACCGGATCCCCATCCGGCGGGTTTAGTGGTTTAACTGCTGCGCCCCTGAAGCGTGATCCTTGGTCTGAAGGAGACTTCGAAATTGAGTTGGTAATTCACTTGGATTTCCTTGCTTGGCCATTGTCATCGCTGACTGGAAAGCCTTCTATTGTTCACACGATATTCCACCGTGAAAACCTCCACATTTTGTACATGAAATCCTGGTACAGTTCTGGCCGGGTGTCCGTTGGCTTGGAATCGTTTACATATCACTCCTGCCCAACAATTGGCCTCAGGGTGCCCCCACCTCTTACATTTCTCACAGAAGACATTCCAATTCTCTGGTCGAGCTACTCCTTGAACCGCGTACTGGCTAGATGACTTCCAGTGTTGGTTCTCTGCGACCCGAAATACTTCCCGGACATTTCCATTATTGGAGAACTCTGGTATCGACTTCGAGTGTGCCTCTGCCTGTTCAGCAAGCACTTCAGGACTCTGAGGCACGCGTTGAAATTCTGAGTCCTGCGCTGTCTCGGCGTTTCCTTGAGCCACCAAAGCACGTACCTGGCGTCTGGCAGGTCCACGATTCTGAGTCCGGCCTTGATGGACGTTGTCGCGCTTCTTAGGAGCTGGGGACTCATACCCTTCTTCGCGCCAAACGTGATACTCTGAAACCTGTGACTTTCGAGAGCTGTTTTCAGCTGATCGTTTCTGTAGTGGGCCTAGGGCTCATTAGTTAGCTTACATGTGTGCGCACGTGTAGGAGGAAGCGTAGGTGTTCCTAGCTTGTATAGCGTACACCCGATGCGTGTGTACGATAAGACAAGATAAGAGCGCGATAGCGTAAAATGAGAATGGTATTGTTGTTTTAAGGAGGTTTCCATCCTAAATTGTTTATCGAATATCTAAAGGACTGTCAGCGGGTGGCTGACAGTGATTCGCATCGCTGATTGGTAGAGGTGTGGCGCACTCTACCAATAGGATCCCTTCAAATGTAGTCTTGGTGTGCGAACACACCAAGACGGGAAACCTCTAACTCTAACCGATTAGCGTTACGGTTAGAGTTTCGTGTAACCCCGTTAAAATTTGACTTGCTGGTCACAACAGAGACAATCAAGTCTCCGAGAGAACTCCGCGCTCATTTCGCAATGAGGGCGCCTCTGCGAACACCAGCGTCTTCGCCTGTGTCTGCGTCGACCTCAGTGTCGACGCCTGCAGCTGATCCTGCGTCCGAACCGACCTCCATATTGGTGCGGTGTCGCCGGCAACGCCGACACCCCCAAGTGGCACGACAGAGAACTTCTCTGTCGACAAGTACTTCGAGCTCCAGGAGAAGAAGCTCGATCTACAGGAGAGGAAGTGCACTGGGGCCGCGAAGACAGCCAGTCCGAAGACTGTCTTCGATGGTTCGTTGGTCCTCTCGACCGACGGTGGTATCCCCGTGGACTACGAGGAGGGAGAGCTTGAAGACGAGGTACCTTCGCCTTCCCAGCTAATTGACTCCAAGCCTGTGGCTGGACCCACCGCGCCCGTTAAAATGATTCGGACGATTTATCGTCGAAGCGTCCGCGAAGCGTTAGTGATGCAGTGCCTTCCACACTGGAAGCACCTGCCATCGCCTCAGATCCGCCAGCTATTATGCCGGATCCGCCTGTTGTTCCGTCGGAGCAACGTGATGCCCCGCGCACTGACGACTCAGTGCGCGATCCTTGGATGCCGTCTGAGAGTGTTATCACAGCACGGTACGGGCGCACGGG